TTCGCCCTCCTGACGGCAGATGATTGAACGATCATGGCGTCGGGCCCAGTGTTCGATGAAATATGTGAAAGGCTGAACCCCTATCTCGCGGAGCTTGCCGCATACTTCCACGCGAGGAATATGAAAATATCCGCCACGAAATCAACGGCCACACTCTTAACCATATGGTCTGCGGAGATGGGAACACAGCTGAATGTGCAGGACGAGGGAAATTTTATACCAACAACGAACTACCCCAAGATTCTAGGAGTGACATTCGACAGCATGTTCAAGTCGTCCGCGCAAGCCACAGCTATCTGCGACAAGAGGAAAATTAGGAACAAGGTCCTCAAGGCGTCTATATGGCAGGTCTGAGTGGCATTCATACCGATGCAGTCGCGGATGCTATTAACAGCTATAAAATGAATGCCGTCCTCGGAGTCCACCCCATCCATTGCAGCTGAAGAACGTCAGCTGCCTAGACAAACCAGGGTAGTTTTGGGGCAATTATCAGGATGGTGTAGTCGTCTCAATTCGTATTGGGCACGAATTGATGAAGATGTGCGTTATGCCTGTCCGGCATGTGATACAGACCCGCACAATACGCTGCACCTCTTTAATTGCACAGCCAAACCTACCCAACTCACTCCAGAAGATCTCTGGCTACAGCCTATTAACGTGGCCGAATTTCTAAACCTGGAGCTGGAACCAGATTAGCAGAACGCAAACACTTGCATGTACTACTGCTACAACAATAACTAACATCTTACAATAACAACATTGTTGTTATAGAATCTAAAAAAATCATGTTAAAATTAGTTTTGATTTGAATAACATAAACAAACGAATAACAAAATAAACAGTCCAGACAACCATTTGGAGAAAATTCTAAACAGTTCTCACGAGCTCAAACGCATTGAAAATGTGACGGTCTTATATTCTATATCTCTTAGGAAATTTCCATTTCCCTCTAATATCAACTCAAACATTAAATTCCGTTGAAAAATAAATAATTCAAGTCCGTCGGCGGACAGTACTGCATTCGTTTGCGCGCAGACTGACGGACAGGCAGAGTTAAATCGACATAGTTTTGAACCAGAATATATAATACACTTTGCGGGAACTAGAACTTTTATTTAAAGGCGATTCAGACAGTTTGATAATCGTAATAATAAAATAGACCATTATGCTGGCAAATATGGTGGGTTCGACTAACAGTCAATACAACAGCAGAAGTCAGTACATAAGACAACAAGCCCTCAAGTTCAGGCTGGCGGCGTCAGCGCTAGCAGTGATCAGCCATCATCTTTTGTCAAAATCTATGCGTAGAAGTGGCCTTTGTCCGATGTCGTTGGTGTTGCAAACAACATGACACATTTAACTTACATTCCATTTTAGGGTATGGATGTAGTAAGGAAATAAGAAGAGTGTGCCGATGCATAATGTTCGTAACAGTGGCTGACGTTATGGTGTGCTCAACGAACCAACTGAAAATCAGCAGTTCACCTCACAATCAGGCGATAATTCCACGGAAGCGGGTTCTACGATGCCGAATAGACCCAGAACAACAACAACTCTTTTTCGGTAATCGGCTGCCACCTCAGTGTATACAAGTTTATGTTTCCAAATTTTCTTTTGGCCCCTGCCGGGATCGAAGAAATCGACGAACCTTGGTTATGCTTGGTATAGAGATCGTAACATATGGTTATACGATCACGGCGTCGGGACGATATATGTTATTGACGATATATGTGTAGATTTTAACACCTATTTTGCGGAGCTTGCCGTCTACTTCCACACGAGGAATATGAAAATATCCGCCACATGGTCTGCAGAGATGAGATTAGAGCTGAATGTGCAGTTCGAGAGAAATATAATACCGACCACGAGCTGCCCCAAGATCCTAGGTGTCACGTTTAACAGCATGTTGCAGTCATTCGCCTAAGCCACTTGTATACCATCCACATTAAAATAAACAAATCAAATCATAACCACTGATGCTCGCATTGACAAATCACAAAAAATTATTAAAAATCATTTTCTGCTATGTGAAAACAAATGTTCATATTTATAGGGAACGGAAACTATTTTTCTCGCAATATTTTCAACACACAGTGGACGAATATTATAACAAACAAATTGAACGTTCAGTTACGTGTTAATCGAGAATGTTATAAAAAAAATAAAATAAAGTTAATGATAAGTATTTTTTAAGGTTTAATTTTTTGTATAAATTAAAAATTCTATCTTCTTTTTGTTGTATTTATTATTCCGGTGTAAAAGGATGGAAGTGCGTATTGACCAGGAGTTTCCTAGGTTTTCATTAAGAAAACATTTCATTATTTCCATGCTCGCCTGCCCATCAATCCCTGCTCTGATTCGGATATACGCAAATGTGTTGGTCATGTCGCCAATTGGATTCGACATAATTAATGAGCGCTATCACAAGGAAAAATGTAATAGCTCATATTTGCAAATTACAGATATAATCAAAATAAATATTTTTGTACATTAATATATTTTGTGCAAGGCACCGATGTTAACATCAAAGTTAGCTCACAATTGTTTCCTGTCTTAGTTTAGTTTGTTAAATTATTCATTTCTTTTACAATCTATTTCCAGTTTAGTCTATTTTCTTTTTATACCCTCCACCATAATATAAAGGATTATTAAGTTTGTTAATCCATTTGTTACTCCTTGAAGTACACTCGTTAGTCCCCAAAAAATATATGTATATATTCTTCATCAGCTATTTGGCGATATTCGTCTGTCTGTCCCTCCGTTGTATTTTGTGAATAGGCAGGTCAAGCTCTTAAATGGTCGAATGTGGCAAATATTTCGGAAAAGTCATTGTTTACATTTTGCATTCGAACAATAACAAAAAAAGCTTAAAATGCAAAATATGGTAATTCATTAAAAACGTGATAATAACTTAAAATCAGATACATGCATTATTTTCATTGCAAACAATCGCCAGTATGAATAAACACATTAAGTTTTTAATATAAATTTTTTACATAATATTTTGAGTGTTCTATAGCATTAGTTGCTTGTCAAATATGTGAATTAAAGTGAAAATCACAACTGAAATTTTTCTTACAATTGTTTCTTACAATCGAGTTTTCTCAGCATCGTTGCTTATTCAACGATTAAATCAAGACGGTTTTGACTTTTATAATAATTGAAATTGAACAAAATTGAGTGATAATGCAACCACAAGTGTTGCAGGAAGAAACTACACACTGGCTGGTAAACAAAAAGGTCAAAAACCTTTATCGATATTTTAAAATCAAATATATATATTTCCAGTTTATATATATATATATATATATATATATATATATATATATATATATATATATTTCAAAATTATTCGGGTCGAAATTTAAATAACCCCCACCTTCTGGTAAAAGTAACATTTTATATATAAATGTATCTGTATTCAAGCGTGCTTCACTTTAAGCTCCATATACCAGTAAAACCGTTTGGATAATGCAGTTAAAGTTATCAAAAAAAAACCATAAAGTGAGTGAAGCCGTAATATGGGGCTATACCAAAACGAATGCCTATACAGACAACTTTATATTACAACGATCTTTATCTATTAAATACTCAAATGACAAAGTTTATAGGAGGAGGGTATAATAATAAATAAAGAATAATAAATAATATATTTCTTTATTTTTTAGATATAAGTCACTGAAGTCTAATATATCATTAAATACAATTTATACCACCTTATTCAATGGGTACTGTTTTTAGTTATGAAATAGTTAATAAAATTAAAATCCTGATTTTGCTCCGATTCCATTTTTTGTGTTTTAATCAAATCACACACTTTACAAGGATGAATCAAACCGATCATACTCGCCATAGATGATCGCCCGTTAAGAACAATTCAACATTAGTTCGTCAAAAAATCACTCACGTGAGCTATTTGATTGCGAACAATGGAACAGATATCATATACATCATTAAGCACCAATCGGGTAACTAATGAATACATAGTGTATTTTTTGGCGTCATCGATCAAATGCCCAGGAGTATTCTCTTAATTAAAAGAAAATACTAAGGGAAACGACTGCAGGATTAGAGTGCGGCCCTGCTTACGCACTCTCACCTTTGTGTGAAGAATTAAGGAGTAATGCAATTAACAAAAAACATTACCAAAGCAAAAAAATAAATTGTTCAGCTAGCCTGGCTGAAATTAGTTCGTTGTCATCTTAAAGTTAAAAGTCGTCAACCCGCCTTCCTACAACAGCATAATAAAATGTAAATGACTGGAAGCAATTATTTACCACGGGAAAAAGGTCCATCGCCCAAAGGAAGTAATGAGAAGTGCTCTGAAAAAGATTTGTTGAACTTCTGGTATTTTATTCACTTGTGCTCTAATTCAATAACTTCGAAATAAATACTATTCTTTAAAGAACGGACCTTGATAGCCCTTATCCACACCAAATATACCTGATGATGATGATGATGAAGTGACTACATATTTCACAAAGTTCTTATATTTTGCATTTTCAAAGTGTTATTTCTATTGGCGGAACAGGTGGTTTGACTGCACTTGGATCATCGCCGTCCACCCTTTGCAATTGAGCAAAGTGATTTTTGGTCTGAATTAGTTATGGTGTTATTGTTTTAAAATTTCCTACATTTTTCTTATATATGAATTGAATATGAATATAACTTACAACTGTTAGTTTTTCTAAAGCGGCAAATTTATTATGCAAACATTTTTTATATTTTTTTTTTTTTGCAAACGAACATCGAATAATTTGGTATGTGCTATTGTAGTGGATTTTTTTTGATGATATTAGGAAAAGTGTTATCGCACTTTGGATTTATAAATAAGTTCTAAATATTAACTTTGCAAAAACTTAAATATAAATATGTAGATTTATGCGATGTACAATTTAATAAAGTTCATAACATATTTCTTACTTGAAAAAAGTGGGAATTTTGAAATTTTTTTTTAATTTTTTTAGCTACACAAAGCAGATTACAAATAATTAACTTACCGCATTCGCACTGTTCTATATAAATATCTTCGTAATCTTCAACATCGGCTGTTTCCTCACCAAATACATTCGAAATACCAGAACCAATCCGAAAAATGGAGTCAAATAAAAATTTACTTTGTCGTCTTGATGCCGTTGTTGGAATAGAAGTGGAGTTGCTTTTATATTTCGAAATGTTGCAGTGAACTGAAGTTTGATTTACAATGATTATACAAAGTAAAAGGTATATACAGGACATCCTGATCACTTATTTAATCATGTTTAGTTAATTTCCGAATACATAGCAGATCATCCTGTGTAGAAAAAAATAGAATATATAAAATTGAATAGAAATAAATAAAATAGAATAGATTTTGAATGCATACCTAGGGTACATAAGACTGGCCTAAAAACCAATATTAACTACATTCAAATGGAATTGAATATTAAATATACATATATCGTTTTTATACTCTCCACCATACTGTGGAGGGTACATTAAGTTTGTCATTCCGTTTGTAACTCCTCGAAATACTCATGTCAGACCCAACAAAGTATATATATTCTTGATCAGCGTAAAATTCTAGTTGATTTAGCCATGTCCGTTTGTCTGTCTGTTGTTATCACGCTATATTTCGAACGAATTGAGACAGAAGGCTAAAATTTTGCACACATGTATATTTGGCCAGTAGGCAGGTTAAGTTTGTAAATGGCCCACGTCGGTCCACGTTTTCATATAACCCCCATATAACGGTACCTCCCGATATTCGATATTTTGATGATTGTATAAGTTCGATACGTTCCACCACAACTTTCCAATACTCGTCAATCACGGATGCTGATTGGCACACTGGCATCTCCTCTACAACATCTTGGCGGATACCGTAGTGAGCGATTCGCCGCTGGGTATTGGTTGTTGGCGGTAGGCTCACCTTGCTCTCATTGGAAGTAGTTGTAATAATATACAAACATGGGATCTCAGCGGTCACTCAGAACCTCTGAGTTCACTTGTCTGTATTTGCATATGTATTAAAAATAGACAAGGGATCCTCCGCGATCACTTAGAACCTCTGCGTTCACTTGTCTTGGAGAAACGAAAGCGAAAGCACACAGGCCTCTGTCGCCACCCCAATTACTGAAGGTAATTTGTCGTTGAAAAAAAAGAACACCAATAAAACTATGAAATCATATATTGAATTACACTAATTATATTTCTGTGTTTTGTTTCTTGCATTTATCTTTCTTTTTATCCTACACCACACACGCGAATTGTTTCAAATTCGGCATTTGAAGTTCGAAATGTATTTTACCTACGACAGAAAACTGTCTATGCTGGTCCACGTCTTCGTATAGCCCCCATACAACGGTACCTCCCGATATTCGGCATTTTGATGATTTTAGCGACATTATTCTCCGGAATTGTTTCAAATTTGGTATTTGAAGTTCGAAATGAATGCTACCTCCTAAGACAGAAAGGTGTCTGTGCAGGTCCACGTATTCGTATAGCCCCCATATGACGGTACCTCCCGATATTCGGTATTTTGATGATTTTAGCGACATTATTAACCGGAATTGTTCAAAATTTGGTACTTGAAGTTCGTGATGGATACTACAGCCTAAAACAGAAAATTGTCTATGCAGGTCGACGTCTTCTTATAGCCCCAGATATTCGGAATTTTGATATTTTTAACGTCATTATCAACCAGAATTGTTTCAAATTACGTATTTAGAGTTCGTAATTGGAACTACAGTCTGTAACAGAAAATTGTCTATGCAGGTCCAGGTCTTCGTATAGGCCCCATATATCAATACCTCCCTATATTCGGTATTTTGACGATTTTAGGTATAATACCCACCGAAATTGTTTGAGATGTCGTATTTGAATTTCGAATTGGATGCTACAGCCTGTGACAGAAAATTGTCTATGCTCGTCCAGGTCTTCGCAAAGCTCCGATATAACGGTACCTCCCTATATACGATATTTTAATGAGTTTAGCTAGGTCCACGTCGTATAGAGCCCAATATAACGGCTATATTCGGCATTTTTAAAATTTTAGCAGAATTTTTTAATGATTTTTTTTATTGTAAATTTTCAAATTCGTTCCAAATGGTGGTGCTTTTTAACTTGTTATTACTCACCTATTCATATATGTATACCTTCTACTTTCTTGTTAGGAACATACTTTTCCCAATTTTTTTTCTTTCTTCTATTAATTATTTGGAAAACAATAATTGTACTGAGCGGCAACAAATTATATATATTCTTGATCAGCGTAAAATTCTAAGTCGATATTTAGATGTCCGTCTCTCCGTCTGTTGTAATCATGCTATCTTTCGAACGAATTGAGATGGAAGGCTAAAATTTTACACAAATGTTTCTTTGGCAGTAGGCAGGTTAAGTTTGTAAATAGGTTATGTAGGTCCACGTTTTCATATAGCCCCCAAATAACCGTACCTCCGGATATTCGGAATTTTGATGATTTTGGCGACATTATTCACCAGAAGTGTTTCAAATTTGGTACTTGAAGTTCAAAATGGATACTACAGCCAATGACAGAAAATTGTCTGTGCAGGTCCACGTCTTCGTATAGCCCCCATACAACGGTACCTCCCTATATTAGGTATTTTGATGAATTTAGCGACATTATTGACCGGAGTAGTTTCAAGTTTGGTATTTCAAGTTCGTAGTGGATACTACAGCCTATGACAGAAAATTGTCTGTGCATGTCCACGCACTTCTTAACCTAGCAGAAGACATAAAAGATGTTTATCTAAGAGTTACAAACATAAGTTTGAACTTTATAGAAATGAACCATTTATACGTGCGTGATAGCCACACGGAAGAGAAATCCATTAACTAAAGAATTAATAGCCGCTTTAGACTCCGCTGGATTTATACATAGGAAATGAGCATCAAATGATAATAACGTAATACCATGTATTCTACAAATACACAATAGTTTCTACAATGCGCTTATTTATCAGCATTGTTCGACCTACATTAGAATACGGATGCGTAATTTGGAGTTCTTTCTATTAAATATACTCAAAAAAGATAGAATCTGTTCAAGTTAAATTTCTTCTGATTTCTCTTAGAGGCTTAGGATGGAATTCAAATGAACTTATTCTACCATATGTGAAACGCCTTAAACTTATTGATTATCCTACACTATAGAAAATACGTTTAGATGCTTAGATGTATTTTTATCATCAACGTTTTTGCGGCCAAATTGATTCTGAGCTTTTAACCCGTGAAATGAAAGTCAATGTCCCTTTGCAAAGTACGCATAATTACATTCAATTTAAATTTATGTGCTGATTATAACAAGTTATATAAGATGATTTCTTTGTATGAACCCTTCCATGTCATAAAAAACTCTATCCTACGTTCTTAGTATGTAAAACTGTTGCCAGACTTTGTTTATAAGAACTTAGTAAGTACTGTAGTTTAGTTTAGATAATTTAATCTTTTAGTTGTTAACCGGTTGATTCATCAATGTGGCCTGTTCCCCAGGTCTATGAACACCCTATAATCGGAACTATGGTGTGTACGTGCTTCCTACGTTATGGGGATGTGGCCTTCTCGGTTGAACGATCGAAAAAAAAATCGAATGGTTAAACATTTCCGATGATACGTCCACCAAGACGTTGGGAACACGATAGAATAAATATTTTTCTTTTGCACCACATTTAATGAAAAACAAAAAAATGATCTTTAAAATGAAAAGTTTTATCAGCAACAGCAAATTGTTTAACCCATGTAGATGGCTGGCGCCAGTAGTCGTTGCAGCCAAAGCTGTCTGGGATTATCAATTGAAGCCAATAATCCAGATGAAATAGAACAATTTTGTGAAAAATAGTAAAGATAACATTTACATTAGAGGTTCCAGTTTAGATTTATGAATTCTGCGATGCGATGGAAGGCGTCTTTGGAGCAACTCTGAATATTCGAGTTAAAAATATAATAGCTCTATTAACTACAAACACCTGTGTAGCACCAATCTAACACTCCACTTTCAGACTCAAAGGCCCTCACTTATATCGCATCTGCAAGTTTTTTAAATAAATGATCAAGGGTCTGTACTTTTCGAAACCTATTCCCGAGCAACAAAGTTTAGTCAGATAATACAGAACGAGGAGGAGAACGAATCAATAAATCACTTCGTGTCAAAGCTATTAGTTCATACGAACTATCAGACTTCGGACATAGAGGCTAGAACGGTTGCCAATTCAACTCGGTATTTTCACTTCTAACACAATCACATCTAAATCTTCTTCTTTCGCGTCCTCAAGATTTGCACAAAATTTTGACCATATTATCTGACACTCTTGTAAAGTTATTGAGAGGATTTTTAAATAAATTAATAAAATAAATTTATAACCATGATGCTGAGATTAATACAAATACAATAAATAAACCTAGAAAATATACAAACGTTTTTTTAAAAAAGTTGAATACTCCAATAAACGATGTGATAAAATAGTTAAAGTCTTGCGAATAGATAAAAGCAGCCAAATAATTCCATACAAACAACAAGAATTTAAAAAAAAGTCGAATGTTCAATTAGAAAATCGAAAATGTTAAAAAAAGCAACAAAATTAGAGAACAGGTGTAGAAACTTGCAAAAAGGTGTTATTTTGCCTATAAGTAATAATATTTCAAAAATATTGAATATGTGTTGAGGTGTAAGTTCTTGTACGTTTTGAAAATTCAATGGCTTTTCCCCTGAGCTCATTTTTCAATATTTGCCGAATGAAATATTGCGTTGAGCTCGCGAGCCATTTTTCGGGCACTGCGACGCGGGTTTCGACCAAGTCGCCTCTTTACTTTCCGAAGCATTTCTGCTGATGTTGTTCCTTGAAGTCGGGCTACGCTACCAGCATCACGGTTACGAGCGATGGTACGAGACACGAAAGATCTTTTCACATTTAAATGCTGAAGTGTTCTAACGATAGTCATTTGTGGTTTTCCATCATGAATTCCGTCACAAATAACTTTTTTTCTGGAAAATTCTCACCAAAATGCTACTGTACGCTTGTAAACAGTATAATGAGCTGTCAGTAGAATACTTTTAACAGCTTTCGGACGAGTGGCTCTGAAATGGCAGTCTGAAGTTGGTTGTAGTTTTTTCATCTCACCCTGTATGTATGCATTTTTGTGGCCACCACTGGTTGATCTACAGATGACTTTTTAACCAATTTGTAGTTAGTTGTAGAATAACATATTCATGAACTAACTATAAGTTGGTTGAAAAATCATCTAGAACATCATGCATCTAAAACTAAGATGACTGGTTTAAATGTAATTAGTTTA